CACACACACACACACACACACACACACACACACACACACACACACACACACACATGCGCGCGCGTACATCTTTCTTATTAATTGATTTTTCGATATTTTAGGCAGAGAAAGTAGTAGAGGCTCGTATGGTCCTGAGCCAAGTACATCGCCATATCGCGATTCTCTGATGGAATCTCGAGTCTTCAGGCAGGAAATGCCACCATATCGTCCGCCTGAAGTTCAACTTAGCCATAGTTACAAATCACAGAGCGAGAAGTATGGTTCCTTAATGGAGAGTGGAAATCGTTACCATAGGGATAGAGAACGGGAAATGCAACAGCATCATCGGGAACGAGTCAATAGTCTTGACAAGACGAACCCGCCAGGCTTTTATCCGAGTTCCATGCACTCGAGAAACATGAATAAACAGCCACAGGATGGTACAGGTAGCATAGGTAGAAGACATCATGGATGTTCCGCGTCGCTTTCGGAAGCGAATGTCAGGGACGTATATGGTGCAATGTTATCTGAGAGAAACGATCCTGCCAAGAGTCTCGGCAGATCTGCTGGCGTACATAGTGGTAATTCTTCAAAACAAAGAGGTCTTGAAGCGGTAGAGCGGGAGAGAGAGCGGGAGCGAGATAGGGAGAAGGAGTATAGGCGAAACACAGCGTGCAATAACTCATTGGATAGTAAGCATTGGATAATAGCAAGATAATCTTTATATTTCTTTCGCCACCTTCCTGTATATATGTGCACGTATTTTTTGCAATACATGAGTAATTATTATTTTATAAGGTGTGCCGCAGCCGTTGGGTCGTAGTTACAGTTTTGTGCAACAGCAAAAACAGCAACAAAAGATGCAGCAACAGTTACAGCAACAGCAGCAACAACAGCAGCAAGTTAGAAGAAGAGAACGAGACGACGATGCTATGCACGAACGTTACTTGATGATAAGTCAAACCCACGAACAATCTAGACAGAGACTCAGTAGTAACACTAGCAGTAGTAATAGCAGCAACAGCAGCAGCAACAGTGCCGCGGGTGAAGAAACTGAGGGTCACGCCGAAGGAGACGACAGCAAGAAGAAAAGAAGTAATGGAAATCCCAGTCCCCCGCCATCGCCGTTTTATGGTAATCTTCTGGCTGATGCTGATCATCTGTTACCATTACAACATTATATCCTTCAACAAGCAAAATTATCAGGTAATAAATAAAAAATTTTTATGATATTGTAATTTTGTGCGATGGAATATGTTTTATTATTTTTCTTCTTTTATTCACAAAAGGTTGTTACAAGTTTGGAGATCCTTTATTAGTAGAAGAAGGAGAAGATTCTTTAGATGAGGAAGGTGGTAGAGGCGAAGGTATTGGTGGAAGAGGTGATGACGATTCCGATGATCAATTCGCCGACGACGAAGCGGCCAGCAATCAAGGCGATTCTTCCAGTCAAGAATATCTCGAGGATCATTACGCGGGTGAGATATTATTTTGAAGAGCATAAAATGTTATACGTTTTTATTGAATAGTCGTAATTAATGACGTATCTTTTTTATGTTTTTTAGATTTAGGTAATTACGATACCGCGGGCTTAGCGACTTATTATACCACAGCCGATACCTTGACAAGGCCGCAAGCGCGACCGCCTTCACCGCCGAATATCGTGTCTCAGACGGAAACAAGAGATAGCGTAGTAACTAGACAGGTCTCTGTACCCACCGTAAGTTCAACTCCGAGTATCGGTATAACGAATGTTGATAACACTGACCTGGAGGAAGCGCGGAGAGATGATAGTACGGGCGGTGGCGACATCGAAAAATATGCACAGGACAATCTCAATTTAAATTGCGGCAGACCGAAAGGACTGAGACTGCTGTTTCGAAAGAAGTTCAGCGTTCGGGATATTCTCAGTTGGTCGAAAGATCCGATTCCGCAACCGATGCTCGCGATGGTGGACGGTGAGAAACTATTAAAAAGAGAGGCTTGCAATTTATTCCGATTGGTTCAAGTATATATGGGAGATCGCAAAGCAAATGTTGGTATGACATTGGACGGCGTCGCCATGGATATCGTGAATACTGCGTTCACGAAGCCGCCTCTGCGGGATGAGTTGTATGTTCAGATCTGTCGGCAGACGACGGAGAATCCGCGGAAGGAGAGCCTGCGACGCGGATGGGAATTGATGGCTGTGTGTCTGGCTTTCGTGCCGCCTAGTGCTACATTCGAGCCCTACTTGGAGGGTTACATGAATAGGCATCGTGATCCTAACTTCCAGTTTCCCGAGGTCGCCAAGTGGCCAATACACGTGCAAGTTAGTCATTACGCGACCGTAGCCTGTAGACGATTACAGCGGATCGGCGCGCACGGTAAGCGGCAGCCTCGCAAAGCCACGGTGGAAGATATCGACCAAGCGAGGGTAATAAATTGCACTAACAAACTTACTAAAACTTACTAAAATATTACTTACTAAAATATTAATTACTGAATATAGATTAATTCACTTTGCATTAATACAATAATATAATATTCTGACATGTCCTTTGTGTTTTTCTCATAGATACAAATTTTCCGCGCGTCTATGTTCGGCGCGACACTCTCGGAAGTAATGGCTTTACAAAGGGACCGCTTCCCACTTAGAGAGTTACCATGGATACAGACTACGCTGACGCGCCAAGTGCTTGTGCGTGGTGGTACGCTAACTGAGGGTATCTTCCGAGTGTCCGCGGACGCCGATGAAGTCAGCGCGTTGAAATCCTGTCTGGATAGGTTTGAGGATGGGGCGATTTTGGCAGCTTCCCAGGACGCTCATGCACCTGCCTCCTTATTGAAATTGTGGGTACGCGAGTTGTACGAGCCGTTGATACCGGATTCTTTCTACGTAGAATGCGTGTCCATGCGACATGACGATCCGGAAGCATCTGCGGCAAATGTGGCTACGCTTGTCGAACGTTTACCGGATCTTAACCGTCGTGTGCTGTGTCATCTAATACGCTTCCTACAGGTAAGAGGCCATTTTATACATAAATCGATAAGAGAAAGTCGAATAAAAATTTGTCTGTTATTTTCACCGTGCGCTTAGCAATATGCAATCGTGTGATTCTAAATTTGTGTTTATTACAAATTTGTGTTTATAACAAAATATTACGCTTCTTTAAACGAAGTATAAACTTACACAGTAATGTTTAATGCTATACGCACGGTGAGAGTATAAAGATTCAAGAGCAGCATGCACTCAACATCATTGAATCAAATTGAATTGAATGTCTTTGGAGAACATTTGCTACGATACTGAAACAACTTTACAGATATTCGCTAGACCCGAGGTGGTCGCCCGTACTAAAATGGACGCCAATAATCTTGCGATGGTGATGGCGCCGAATGTATTGCGCTGTACGTCCCAAGATCCTCGGGTAATTTTAGAGAATGCACGGAAGGAGATGGCCTTCGTCCGTACTCTCATCGAGTCATTAGACACCGCTTGGGTCGATGATCTTCACTGACCGTATCCTATCGCGCTAGAAAAAAGTCCGCTCTAGACTATTATGCCAAATGAATCAGCTGTATAGTCACGTCTATTGTTAGTTATCTCTTTCTCTCTCTTTCTCAATTTATCTTCACACATTCTTCTTGTTTGTCCAGTCACCAGTTTTCCCCCATAGTCCTCCTACATAAATGTTCTTCGTAACGGTAATTTAGTGCTAAAGTCTACCAAGCTAATCGATCAAATCTGCTCCCTTATTTCCTATTTATTATTTATACACAGATTCTATGTTATATGACAGATTTTAGAGATTATATTAGATTATATTATGTATATCGCTATATTATATCATATTATATATTTTACCAATCCCTTGTTACCGCGTCGAACAAACGTGGACGGCTTTTTTACTCAATCATTGTTGAATCTCGTGTAAGATAAAAGAGAAGAATCATGTGTTACCGTGTATAGCTGCGCTCCGCGATAATCTTTTTGTATAAGCGGATTAACGTGTAAAGCGTTTTATCGAGGAGTAAACACTGCGAAAGATTAGCAAGCTGTAGTCGCAAGTGTGTTTCTTCCCCCGAGATCTCCAAGAACAAATATAACACATTTTACATAAACTTCCACGAACACATAAATCTCACATTTTATAAAAATATCCCCATTTTATTTTTGTGCAATAGTATCCATACTTATAACTAATAAACTTTATTTTACAATGCAACAATCTATACAGATATAAAAAAAAATAGCTCGGAGTATTCTTGTCATAAACAAGAATTGCCTTTTCATTACATGTTTTGTACATTTTATTTATAAAGATTATGAGCAAATAGCAGTATAGTTTGTCGTCTTTGAGTCACCGCATTTTGCGCATCTTTTTTTTTATAGTTCTTAAGCAAGAGAATATCACAACCTATCGTTATATTTGTATTGCGAGAGACAATACGATAATCATATCATCATAAAACAAAATAAGTGTCTCAATGTATAATACATAGATCGGCTTAATAGGAGCCTTACATTAGGGATCACTCAAGACTCTCTAGCGATAATCACATTCATAAGAAATTAATTTTAATGCGTTACGTCTACTGTTATATACAACATGTACATAGTAAATTGATTAATATTAATACTGAAGAAATCGTTATCAAAAAGAAAAAGAGCGAAAAGTTAACTTTTCTATCGCTCACGGCTTTGATTTCGCTTCTAGACATCTATTCGCTAAGAATTTCTCTTCCTGCGAACGAACTGCTTTCGCAATCAATCGCGTTATTAAAATCTTCGCCGACGGACAGATCTCTAGGAACTCAGTTAGATATATAGAGCAGTGAGTTGCGTCAGATCGTCTCGTCCATAGAAATGTTAATTGGTAGCTCGTGCCGTTGGGCCGCATTTGAAAAAAAGCGACAGATTGCGAAAAATAGAGAAAGAGAGCACAAGTACATAAAACCGTCTCTCCTATCGCTATATTATCGGCGAAAGAAATTATTAGAGGATTACGAGGGGCCGCGATTCTCTCGTTTCGTTTCATTATCATTATCGTCATCATCATCATCATCATCATCATCATCATCATCATCATCATCATCATCATCATCATCATCATCATCATTGTCCGACTTTCGAGAACCGCCTCTGGATAGTAGCAGCTGCGTTTTGTAATTATATGACGCGCCCAAAATGCGATTTCCTGCCGCGGAACAGATCGTCAGCAATTGTCGACGAACGTGGCGGTGGATCCGCTCGCGATCTCTGCGTACTCCTGTCTGCTAACCGAGCAGAGCTTGCTGGAGAAATCCGCTTCGCGTTTTCTAAAAGCGGAATAAAGTTAAGTATGTACCTACAAGAAGACAAAACCCCCAAAACGTTATTGGCTGCATTTAGCAGAAAAAGCAGTTTTTGTAACTCAGATAGCATACAAATATTTTGTGGATGTTCTATAAATATTCTAAGAATATTCTACGAATGTATATTAAAAGCATTGTCAAGTATTAATGATATATTCAAATGGCATAATTATAAATGTTCTGTGAACATACGTAATATTTTGTACAGAATTTTATGGAACATATACTATGTATTTTTATACGATTATTAAGGAATATTCTATAAATATTCTTTTCATTATGAATATGGAGCTAAATAGAATATTTTATGTATATCTATAGAACATTTGATTCAAATATTATATAAAATAAAATATAAAAATATTTATATTTTATGAGAATATTCATCGAATGTTTTATACTATTTGGAAAGATTCTTTAATGGTTTTTGCCTTTAGTTTCTTACCGAATTTAATATAAACTAATCATAAAGATCATGTAACTAATTATATTATCTTATAACGGTTGCAAAACTATTTTTTCTGCTAAATGTAGCAGTTGTCACGCTCTAGTTTCTCACCCTCTGCCCGGAAGATCCATAGCATCTACTTTGACGCTGTTAACGTACAGACGATCATTACACCAGAAGAAGCACAGGGATCTGGGTTGCAGTACGTCCATGTCATAGACCCAGGAGAGCTCAACCCGTCGGATCTTACCGATGTTGCCGATGGAACCTGTCGGATGAGCAACGACCATCCGCGCGGTCGATCCGTGCTCCAGTTTCATGTAACCGCTGCGGGAGAGGGATAGCTCATTAAAAAATAGTGGCAGGTAGAAAAGAAGACGGAGGGGGGAGGAGGACTATCGAGCGCGAGAATATATATTCTCCGTTATTTTTATGTGGCTCGTTTACGATCACGCAGTATCGGTTGTGCGAAGCGTGAAATTAAATATACATATATATAGTTGTCCAACAAAAATTTTTCTTGAAATTTTTTATATAATTTTTCAGGATTTCTGAATTTGTCAAAATTCTTGTATAATTCTGTAACTTTTTAGAAGTTTCACAAATTTTTTATACGAATTACAACACTTCAAAAATGTTGAGAAAGTCCAGCAAATAAGTATAAGTCAAAATGACGAAAAATAATATTAGCTTGTTTGCTGAACTTTCTCAGTATTTCAAAACGACGACAAATAACGTTACATAGAGAGAATTTTTTCTTAGAGTTTATCCTGAAAATATAATAGTTCTGGGACAAGACTGTATTTCGAAGAATTTTATGTAAATTTCTCTCATTCATTAATAAACCTACAAAATTGATTAATTTTACTAAAGTGCATAATAAAAATCTTTAAAATATTGTATTGTACCACAACTATATTTTCAAAGTGAATTTTAAAAGATAATTCTCTTCATGTAGTTTGTTTGCTGGGAATATACATATATCTTTCCTAAATTTTTTAAATACATAAATTCTGAAATTTTAAAATTTCTCAGTCTAAATCGTTTCCAAAGGAAACATATAAAATCTGAAAAAGTTTAAGATATTTTTCAGAAACCTTCATAAATTTAAGATAATGATAAATTCTTAAAAATATTATATGATATGTGGCCTATATTAATTCTTCTATATAGTATACGTATAACACAAACTATGCTAAGTACATACATTTATCAATTCAAAGTTCGAAGTATGAATATGTGAATCAATGAGAATTTTTTTTCATCAAGATGATTAATTTGTATTATTAATCTTCGCAGTCGCAATGACCAAGAGCATAGACGAATGTGGGTTGTCGAAGCGATAACGTTCGCTAGCACGATTACTTACCTGGGCGTGAGATCCATGTTGCGTATCATGCCTTTGTCGGCGTGGAGAGTGACTTTCATGAAGCCCTGTACCCAGCTTTCCGCGGTCGGCGGTCGGGCGAGGTTGATGGTAATTCTATAATGTCTTCCTAAAAGGTGATTATGATTGGTATCAGTATCTCAAGAGAGATCGAAAAGGAGAGGAGAGAGAGAGAGAGAGAGAGAGAGAGAGAGAGAGAGAAAAGGGGAGCTCCGTTTGCTGCTTTTATCGCGATACGCGCGCGGAGAAAGTCGCGTCTTTCGCGATAGAGAAAAGCCGCATTGCTCAGTAGATATTCTTCTTTTCGCATCGATAGCGAGAAGTTAACGGACGTCTATATAGGCAAATTGAATAAATTTCGATCGAAATGAACGTTCATATCTGACGGGCAAGATTTTTAATTGTGATTGCGATATTTCTTGTGCACGACACTTTTATGATATACAATCAAAATATCTATTTAAAAGCATAAGAGAATTTTGCATTGTAATGAAACATTGTAATGGAAAGCTGATGATCTCGACGATGTTCTTAAGCTACAGTTATTATTATTGGGAAAGTTAATATCGTTTTTAATTTTATAACGTCAAAATTCATCAGCATTAGTATAAGTAGTCTTAATATCGAAGATTATATAGCCAATCTGGATTATACATATCTATAGATACTAGATAACAAGAAATAGTGTTTGAATTTATTTTCGTTAACATCATTTAATCCTCCAGAGCTAACGATAAGCTCTACAAGTATTACAAGTATTACAGTTATTATGTTGGATTTGGAAGACTCATTTAATTTATGTTAATTAAAAGGCTCTCTAATTAATTTCAAGGGACCGCCTAAGCGGAACAAATCACAATAACGTTAAAATGACGTTAAAATAGTAATGATTGAAAAGTAAATGATTGAAAAGTGGCTTTTATTCATCATTTTAAAGTCATTATGATGTTATGATGATTTGTGTTCTTCTTGAGCAAAATAACATAACTCGTATAAAAAAAAATGTATGTAAGACCAGTATTTATAATCGGTTCTTATTTTAAGATCATCTTAAATAATATCTTAAGATACTAATACAGCCCTCCTTAATTCGTAATATCTTAAGTCTGTACTTAAGACGATCGTAAATATAAGAATTGATTATAAATACCAGCCCAAGAATATTTCAATAAGAATAATCTAAATTTGCAGATGTAACATAAAGAAAATTTGAATTGTTTGACATTTTTAACCAAGAGATTTATAATTGAGTGGATTCAATAGATCTACTGTCATCTCTGGAAGATTAAGAATCTGCTCAACCGCTTTCAACAGATATCGTACTCACTGCAATATGGGTCATCCTTGCCCGTCATAAAGAAGAATTTGGAGCCCAACAAGGATGAAACATCTTGTCCCATGGCTTGGCGTTTTATCAGCGCAGGACTGGTGTCCGCGTGGTAACCCATCACACCGCAGCTCAGGCTGTTGTTGCTCTTGCAGGAGAAGCACTCGCCTCGCAAGAAGCTCGCGTAGCTCGAGCACTCGTGCGCCACGTACTGGCACTTGGAGTTGATGCTCTCGATGAAGAGCTTGAGCGCACGCACGTGGTTGCAGGCGACCAAGACGCGCGAAGCCTCCTCGAGGCCCTCTCGTATTAAGGTAAGCGGCAGCGATGGTGTGGTCTCGCTCAGATCTGTGCAGCCGGGCTGTTCCTTGCCGTTGTTAGGATAGAAATCCAGGTGTCCGCAAGGTTGGCTCATCCCATATCCTGGAAGGCCTTGCCATGTACTACGTTAGTTTAGAGAATGTGACTCACGGTGGGAACGCGATAGAGCTCCATTTATTAGAGAATTTATCGAAACGATAATTGACGAATATTGTTACATATATGTTTAATAAATAAAGATTTTATCAAATAAAGCTATATCTAGAAAGAAAAAAATCTAATCGTATTAATTGAAAATTGAATAGAATATGTCTTGGAAAATAAATGAAGCAAAATTCTTCTATAAATTACGATAGAGATAAGTATGATTAAATCCTTCCTGTTAAACATACTAAAATTTCTTGATAATAATATTAAAATTATTTAGTTTGATCAATATAGCTTTTTAATAAAAAAAAAGAACATCTACTGAATACATTAGAAATTTTTTAAAATCTGCTCACGTTGCTTGAAATTTCCAAAAATTTTTACATTTAAAAGGAGATAAATATATATATATGTATATATTTGGGCGTTGAAGAGAGAGAAAGCGAAGCTGTGAGTACAAAAAGTACAAGCAACGGACCTATAGATTCAACTAAAAATAGTAGATAATCAAATCCTCATATTGAAATCTATCAAATATTCTAGCTACAAAATATCGAACCTAATTATGATAACAAAAATTTTCTTTAGTCTTAATTCGAAATAGATTCTACTATCATCTTGTTGGTGTAATCAAAATATCTTTCTTAGTAGAATTATTTTTGTTTTCATACATTGAGATATTTCTCTTTTTATTTTAAGAAATTTTTGAATTACCACAAGTTTTCATGAAATTTTATAAATTGATTTTGAATGATTGAACTTAATTTTTTGAGTTCTTGTCATTCATAAGTTACAAGTGTTTTATAATGTTCTTAGCTGATTGGAAAATTAAACATTGATTTTTTCGTAATTCTAATAGATTTGTCATCTTTCGTGTCTTCATTTTAATCAATAAAATTTCTTAGTTTTTCATCGTTATATGCACGCTCGAACTCAATAAGAATTTGAAGCGATAGTATCTATTGCGCGTTTACCTAAGAAAAATATGCTCTTTCCATCGGTATGAATTACGTCTACCAGTTGGGCGTCCGTGTAATCTAGGCGAAGATGGTTCGGCATTCCTTGGAAATATGGCTCTGCAGGATCTAACCCGGTAATACGTCCAATATTGCCGCCCAATTTCTCGCCCGCATAACCGGCCGTGTGGGCACCGAGGCTGTGTCCGATTAAATGTATGTCATTCGGATCTAAGCTATAGTTTGTCTGAAATTTTATCAGAAATAAGAATACATATAAATACAGTATTTTGCTACAATCATACAATTAAAAAAATATATAACATAAAAATAGAAAACGATTTATGTCATACTTGATGCTACGAATTTAGAGATTTTAAAGATTTTTTAATTAGTCAATTAATAAAATTCTTTTTTCTAATTAATCAATTAAATGTTTCGCAATACTTGTAGCGTTAAGTGGATTGGATTATAATAATGTATGTAAATGACGTACTTATATATTTAGCGTTTGTACACATTTGTATATATTTAGCGAATTTAGAAATTTAGAGTGACTTGGACACCCCACACACGGGTAATAAAGGATTAATGGGATAATCTAGAAACATCTCTTACTTGTAAGTGCTTGATGAGATGAGCTATTTCGAGTCCAACCAGTCTCGTGTTCGCTGTCGCTTGGGTGTACAAAGGTAGACTTCCACCAGCCCAGTCGACTACGATAACATTGTAATCACCGTGCACCAACAGCTCACTCCTCATTTCCTATGAGTATATTTTGTGGGTAAATAAATGGCGATAATTTTCGCGTGTTATTTAAGAACTGCGTCTGTCATCAAATGTAATTGTGTCACTAGATCGCGTATATCTATTTCAAACACTGATGCAATGTAGCAGAAAAGTACATTTCTTTACCAATACGTCTAGCTCGCAATAGACGACGATGGTCGGGCGATGGAGATGCACGATGTAGGCTAGTCTTTGGTACATACATGCAATTGATATTATGAGTATGACAGTTTGATTGCGAATACATAACGCAAGGATTTCTATAAAAATCTAGGACGATAAACGAGTATCTGTATTGGAATAATAAAAGGATAAAGCTCACCTTGACCCAGTTGCTGAGTGGAGTGTCTATAAAGCCATGTATAATGAATTTGGTTTGTCGCTTAGGATTGAAGTTCGAGTTTTCGATGGATTTATTCTTGGCCACTTTTAATATTTGACCCTGAAGGAAAAATGACTGGACATTATTAAGTGTACACATTATTAAGTGTACACATCTGTAAGAGAGTCAATTATTCGAAGAGTTTGTTCAAAATCATTTATGCCAATTTCAAATGCGTGACGCATATACATTATTATTATTGAGAAGGACAATGCATGCTAATTGCAAGAATTGTACTCATATATAAACGCGCGTATTTGTTTCCAAGGAAAAAAATATTAACAAAAAAAAAAGTTATGAGATATCACGGATTTGCATTGAACAAAAGTACGTATCTATTTCATTTGTATTTTTTTTTTAAACTGACAATTAATACCATTCGAAAGCAAAGTGCAAGTTTCAACTTTAAGAATCTGCAGTGGAACGATTTTTAAGGAGTTATAAGAACGATCAAAGTTAAAATGCTTCTTTTATTTAATTCGCGAACCCAGTAATAAAAAATTTTAAGAATTAAAAAAAAATAATTTTGTAACGAAAACTTTAAGCTTTCACATAAAAAGTCGATATTTTTCTCAAATTTTTTTAGGCATATAATAGACCTATAAAATGAGAAAAAAATTTCTTATTTTGTTATAAATTTTCTATAAAAATTATCAAACTCACTGGAACTCAAAAAACATAGTGACCTTTCAAAAGTATTGAAAGATTCAAAACTTTTTCTTTTAATTTAAATTTTGTTCATTTTTAATGAAATTACAGCTAGTTGAATATTAAAGTTCGATATAGAGCTACGAACTTTCGTTTCAATCCAATATTTGTCAATTCCGTCAATCGTAGCAAAGCGTATATTCAAAAGCATTTATTTTAATTTCACGATTCAACAGTTTTATTATTATTAGCGAAGTGAGTGATATATGTTTGCGTGTGCTTATGGTAGAGGTATTGAGGTGTGATTTCACCGTATTATGCTGCTGATATATTACGCTCGATACTTCGTACAGACCTGCAGCTCTCTTCCTCCTATTTATTAATTCATAAATCAGATCTTATCTTCGCGCACGTAAGAATAGTGCGCATGTGGTACGTTGCATCGCTGCCTGTACATTGATACGTGTCATTTCGTTTAATTAATGGAGTCAATTAAGATATCCATTGGATTCAATATTGATGGCTGATCCTATACGCGATAAGAAGAGGATATTCTCATTCGATTATTCTTGTCGCAAGACAGACTCTGACGGGCTCTCTCAATACAATTTCTCAATATACGCGTTATATACAGAAGCGTTTACGTCGCATTAAATTTACTAGCTATGAAATTCCAATCGTCGGAGATTTTGATCTATTTCACCCAGATTTCACTTTCGCGTTAACAGCCAAAACGCAAGACTACTTTCAAAATGATCGTGCGATTTTTATTCGTAAAAAGACACCCACCCCAGATCTATATAGCTTTGATCTTCAAGACATTCTATATATGTATACAGTAAAAAACGATTTGTATTGGAAACGCTTCACTTACGTTTTTGTTAATAGTTCGGTTGAATTTTTTGAAATTAAGACACAGAAATGGATTAATATTTTGATACATATGAAAATTAAAAATAACAAAATGTTATTTAACTCAAGGAATTGTATTACCATTGCTCCTTTAATTTATAATAGTATGGGTAGTTAGGATTTCCTATTCCAGGTTCAAACTCTAGTGAGGATAATATTTTTCATAAGCGTGTTTTAAGATGTTTATTAATCGTATAAATGGATAATTTCAATTTAATTTATGATTATTATTTCATTTAACATTATTATTTCAACTTCAGTTTACGTTTTAAATCGAATAGTAATTAGTGTGTAATTTATACAGGGTAATTCACTTTATTAATCTTAACAGGCAAAAATTTTAAAATATAATAAAATATATAATTTTAGCAAAAAACGTTTCAAATAAAAGTTATACAGTATATAGTAATAGAGAGACGTACAATGATAATATTATTTTTGAAATATGGGAAAAAGTTCATGGCGTTTTTTCCATTAGATAGCATTAAAAAAACTAATATTTATCTGTTGAAATTAAAATAAATCACTCTATATAACTGGAAGATGTATTTAAAATTTACATATAAATATTATAGGCCTCAAGAATCTAATCTTGACTGCATTTAGCCTTTATTTACTTTACTTTCTTTACCTATTCGATTGTTTATGTAGCGGTCTAGTTTAATTTATTGCTATTTATCGAAGCGTTGATCTTTACTTACGTCCAGAGGATTTTGATTCGTGTAGAGGATGAATCTGGTATTAATGACTTCTCGCGGTAATGGGAAAACGTTCAGAGGTCGATGAATGAGGTGATACCAGCTCCTGGTGATGTTTAGGCAACCCAACTCGTCGTAGCAGCGTGTCTCGTTTTCGACTGAAAAAAAATTGTCTCTTCATGTGATTATCAAATTTGTTCGTTTTAACAAAATTTAATTCTATATTCATAAATAATATGTATCTACTCTACAAAAAAGAAAAACTTCACTGCTGGAAGCCTACAAGAGATTCATGTGTAAAAAATAACAAATTTTAATATACATATTGATATTTGTATTACACTGCCGGTCAAAAGTTCGAAATCGTATATATAATCATATATAAAATTTAAGAATATTTCAATGAAACATTACTTAAAAGTTCTGTTACATGCCTTATTTAATTTTTTTATTTGAAGTAAATAGACATAGTTGTGATTAATATAGTATTATTCAATTTTAAGAAACTCTACTACTGCAGTAGAATCTTTTTTCTATAATTAAACTTTCACACTGTTGATTATTTTAGAAGATGAATGGAAAAGTCTTCTATGAGGAAAAAAAATTTGTAGCTAGAGCTAGATGCAAGCACAATATTCCCAAAATGTTGTATAAATATTATTTTATCTTTTTAATATTCATATAATATTCTAGTAATATTGTGTTTTATGGAGATTATTTAGATTAGTAAAACAATATATGAGATTAATTGTTAGGGTGGTTACTTTAACAAAAAAGGAATCTAACATTTAGTACTTTTATTGTAAAAAAAATTAATAAAAACATATTTTGTAAAATTTTCAAATATTTTATATTATTGTTCATTTTATTATAAAATATTGAATGAAATAAAAATTAAATATTATTATATGTAATTATATTATGTAATCATGGTATATAATTATTTTAACATAATTATATTATGAAATATAGGAATATTATATATCATGATACATATTATATAACAAAAATATATTAAATTATATTACTCTGTATATTATTCATATAGTAGACATTTTTAATGGTCTCAAACTTTCGGCCGGCAGTGTATATGTCTTGGACATTGTCCACATTGTTGTCAAAGAAGAATAAAATGTACTCCTAGCATTACTACGATTGAATTTTTTTATCTAATTTGTATGATAATTACAAGGCAGCCAAGGTATGTTGACTTCGATCCGATCGCTGCGCGCCCACTGCCAAGGGTCCAGAATTCCGGCGGAGCAGATAACAGGAGTCAATGCGACGAGGAGCAGGATCAAAGTTCCTTCGTCATTGTCGCCGACTCCTCGTCCATTCATGCCGCTCCTCATCCTCATCCTGTAAAAAAAAGAACCGACACAATTGATCGATACAATTGCACAATGTCACTAATTTGCTAATGTCGCGTACTAATGTTTGAATCACGATGGTGAGTTTCCTATTTGTTTTTTAATAAATTAAATTTGTTTTTCAATCGCCACTTAAAATTAATGTAAACTTTCTCTAAATAAAAAAGGATTGTTTTGATAGTAAATAAAAAAATATTATATATCGAAGATTATTACGGAAATATGTTGGGCGAGCGCACTGGAATACGAATGCATGCAAAATTGTTGAATGAACACTACGACTGTTTGTCGAACTTGTATTGGGCAAATATTGCGTGTTGCACGAGGATTAAACCACTACTAAATGTTTGAAAGGACGATCACTGAATCTAAAAGCGCTGAGAATAATGTTGGTGGGAGTTGAAGAGCCTTCGAACTCTCTTGCGAGATAATAAAACTTCCAATCGTTTAGGGGAAAGATATTTGACAAGGCTGATCGCACACATTTATGTTCAGATCACCTTGAAGCTTACCTCGATGTCCAACCAATTGTTACTTCATGCTTCAAAAAGAAGTGGACGGATTTTTTAATTCACTTCTAAATGATCACACACCTTAGGAACTTTAGAAATACGTTTGATATTAACGTCTGTAACGTTTAATGTTAAGATGCTGTTAAAAAAATTTTCATGCATGAATTTATATAAATATACAGAAATATGTATAAATATTCATAAACATATCTAATTATGTACGAAATACGTTCATACATGTTCATATATTTTTTTTTCTTTCGTAAACTTTTTAATGTAATAAAAATAAAAATAATAATAAAGAGAAAATATAAAAAAATAATTGAAGGGACAATTATTGCATTGTTTGTTTTAAAAAGAAAATCACGTTTAGAGAAAAAATTGTATAATTATATATAATTTTACATAAAATTGTATATCAGCGATTTTTTTACATTTCTTCAAAAACTTTCTTCTAAAACAAATAGTGTAAAAATTATTCTTTTAATTATTTTTAATTATTTTTTCATTATTATTATTTTTATTACCCTAAGTAATTTTAAAGAAAAAAAGAAGGATATATGGACATGTACGAACATATTTCATATATAACTATATATTTATATATTTATACATAGTTTTATGTTTATACATATTTACATACATTCATGTATGAAACATTTTTTACCAGGACAAACCGACGTCAGTAACATTTGTTTATCCGGATCTTTGTCTGTTCGAATTGACGTTGTCATAATCACGCGATGTATATGCGTATATCATTACTTGCTCTACGATATTCGTACTGCGTGTGATTTGTAATGACATGTTGGCGGTCACGACAATAGAATGAGGAAGAGGAAGACAAACCTCAGTTAACGTATTGGACATTTCGATGATATAACTCGGCCTATTTGTTCATCGTTATGAGTCTCAGTCGCCGCCACTTTTCTATTTTGCAGTAAAGAAAAGATCGTTAATGATATATTTGTTGAATAATAATCGCATTGCTAATTGCATTCATCAATGAGCAAATTTGCAAGTTTTTCAAGAAATTCTTTACGGAATCGAGCTCGAATATTAATGGAATGATTGTTCTATTTATAGCCTTCATTAGCTTATGCAACGAGGATGATGCAATGATACTTGCGCGAGTATTGCATCTCATTGAATCTAAGATTATGTCATGTGCGTATATTGTACTTACGTAGAGATCGAGGGTTCACTGCAGGGATATATAACGGCTAGAAGCAACTCCTCGTGAGCATTATCACGTTAAGTTACCATTGATGTACGCTTTCACCGGCCAACTAAGCTATTCCGGTTATTCGCAACAGAAAACGTGCATATTTAATCGACGTTAAGATTGTTTAAGTGCACTATCCGGTAAACAGATCGCATCAAATCGTTTGGGATTGGTCGAGATCAACGAAGTGGCACAAGAGATTATTATTTACTGACGGAAAAATCGTGGTAGAGAGTGACGAACAAAATGTCTTTATTATAAAAGAACCAAAACAGTTTCCAGAGTTTAATGAAACAGGAATATTACACATACTGGCACCTACTTTTAGCACCGAGATATTACTGTATATCTTGATATTTCTTCTTATTGTCCAAAATTGACAATGAGAAAAAATATGTGGATACATAAAAAAAAATGATTGAATATCATGGAAATAATAGTAACATGTAAACAAATAAAATATTAAGGAAATATTCATATTCACTATAATTGCAATTGTATTTACACAGTTGGACAATTTGCATTAAAATTAACACATTTCACATGTTCCAAACAATCCATCCAAATTTTTGCATCACTTTAACACTAGATAAATATGTTAGAAAGTAACACAAATATTATATAAGAAAATAATACAAAAAGTGTACTGATATAATTTATAAACAAACTGCGAAAGCATATTTTTTCCATAAAATTTATAATATATTAAATTAATACGTATTTTTATTCACTTATTTTAGAATTTACATCTTAAAATGCATTATTTTTATGTTTCTTGTTCATTCATTTATAATTGTGTTATTTTGATATTAAAAAATGTTGAACACTGATTTAAAACATTCAAATAACATAAATATAAAAATTCAATACAAATTTTGACAAGGACTTGAGTGGACCGTTTCTAACGTAAATACAAAAAATGTTTTTAATATGTACAAAAATAGTATTAATTTTATTTTCCACATTTGATATTTGTACTACATCAATATTAATTTGAAATTATCATGATTTATAGTATTGTATAATTTTTCATAATTAGTATAATTACATAAGGTCATACTATTACTACATTATAATAAACAACAATTATGAACATTATTATGAACATTCATAATTATTTTATTTATAATTACAAATACCAAACAATTTTTCCTTTTAATAAAGTTACAAATTTTTTAATTTTCTCTCTTCGCGAAGATCGGAGCAATCAATTTTTCTGCTCAAAGATAAAACGGAATTGAAATCCGATAACATCTTTTTCTGTCTCTTCGTAACATCAAAATACGTCGTGAAATTAAGATTGCAATGGAATCTCTGATTATCGTTCAAGGTAAATTATTCTCGAATTAATTATATTTTCAGCGATCGGTATCGGGGTGGAGATATGCATTGGAAGGTAACGTACGGAATGTAACGGGTGGAGCAAGAATAATTCGAAACCTGTTGCCGAACGAATATGGGCACCGCCGCGCGGAATGTTGCGCGCTATTTTCTGCATTCCTCAAACGAGCAGCTGTATATTGAGGCCTGGAGGCTTCCAATCGCATCGATACGTTTCAATGAGTCACGCATAACGAATACAGTATAAACATGTTCTACCTTGGAGCGCTTTATTATCCGCCTCTATCATGATTGTGGCAATTCTGAGGCGTATACACAATACACATACGTGTTTACCGTTTCGAGCTGTATGCATGAACTGTTCGGTCAACTACTCACGATATGACAGTTGTTTTTTTTTTTTTTTGCTTTTGTATCGCCACTTTCCCTCTATTTCCGCAGAATATTCCTAGAGGCGGAATATGTAAATGTTCGTTGCTGATTATTCTCGGTTATTCATGTCTGATTGGCAGATTAGAATGACACGATAATTGCCGCAGTATCTCGAAAGTCGTATGTTAATGTCCTTCTATTCATTCGTTGCTTTATTAATTGCTTGCGTTGCTTATGATTTTAATATGTAGAGTAAGGTTACTGAAATTGCACCATTTTTTAGACAAAAGCTTATAACTGAGAAATTGTAAAGAATATTCTTAAGTTTTTTTACAGCATAACAAATTATATAGTTTCTCTTTCCTTCCTTGTACATTTTTATTATTTTTTGCATTATAACGTTTTAAATGAGAATTTTTTAATTAAAAAAATTTTTAAATTAAAGGAGAAAGATTGTATTTTAATATGCTGTTAAAAGTTTAAGAATATTTTTCATAATTTCTGGAACAAATAGTAATATTTTAGAAGGTAATTCAAGGAGTTTCTATATGAAACAAAATAAACACTTTGCAGATTTAAATACATATATATTTTTATATATATAATAAAAAGGAATAAAAATGTAAGAAATTATTATAAGTAAGTAATATAAAGCAACATGTGATTTAGAATCGAGATTAAATTGTGGTGCAATTTAGGAAACTTGAGTTTTTTGTAAAACTTTATTTATTTAATCTATAAAAAAATGTAAAAAGAAACTTTATAATCTTATTAATCTTATTCTAATAATAGCATTTCAATCACGACAATATATTATATCAAAACATAGGCTATTTAACTTACATTTTCTGCTATATGAAGTATGTTAAAAATACAACAATACTTACGTTTTTATTTATATAAATAACAACTCCTATATTGCGCTTCGTATTACTTAGTAGTGTACACAGCAGTGTTGCACGCGTACCCCATGTAGTTCTTGAATAATTCATGAGTAAATACAATAATTGAATTTTAGGCGAGATAATGCGATTTAGGAAGTCGGTACAATTTCGACACAATTTCGGTACAATCATACCCTACACGGAAAGAATAATTTTGAAGGGTTTTATCTAAAATTTTAAGTAAATCTGAAAATAATTTTGTTGGTTCATCAACACGATTATGTATAACAAATTCAAACATGACGAGCAATGCTACAAAAAATTTTGAGATTTTAGCAACCAGTTAAGCGTCCTGTATGTATAATTATTCTTGTCAAATCTGTATCTAGTTAAATTTTTAAACTTTAGCGAAATCGTTCTTTCTGTATACTCTGAAAAAAGTCTTGTTGCATTAATCCCAACAGTACAAAAATTACAGCAATATTGCTTGGGGAACGATTCAATGCTTTTATATCGATCTGTTATATGTATTGTAACTGGATAATTGTAAAAATAAAAATATTGCATAAAAATGAACATTTAACAATTTCTTTTCAATTAAATTTCATTAAATATCAAGAAATATTATGATAATAAGCAAATATATGTACCTTCA